CCATTTGAAGGAGACTCAGAAGGGAGAGAAGTAGTAGCAGTAGTAGTAGATGGAGAAGCTCGGGTATCATTCACAGGAACATTACTATTTCCTTGGTTCGCTTGACTATAGGAAATGAGAGAAAAGGGAGTGAAAAAGAGATTTCAATCAGCTTTTGTCGGAACAAAAAGCGAGGGGGGAAAGGGGAGAGTTGAGAAGATTAGTACATGTTCGATTCCAATACCCGGGTTGATACTCACTTTCCGCTTCCTTGGCTCTGTGATTGATCCTGTTGACCTTCTGGTGGAGGTGTCGAGCCGTTTCCATTGTCTGCTGGTGGAGTGTTGGCATCAGGTGTCGTGCCATTCTTGGCTCCTGGGTTATTTGGATCAGGGCACGGGACGGTGCTATTTGTGCCATTGTTTTGAGCCAAACTAGTAAAAAAGTCAGTTATACGATTCAAAAAGTCTCATTCATCAAAAGATTCTCACTTTGCAACGAGTGGAGGCGTGGTGGTCGTGATGTTGAGACTTGGAAGTAAGCCCTGTGTGGCCGAGTTGATGTTGTTGATGGCTTGGGCAATGACGCTTAGAGCAGACGCCAACGAGTTGCCTGCGCTCGACAAAGATTGGGTCGCGGCAGCAAGAGCCTGGTTGATGCTAAGAACTTGGCTAGTGTAGTTGGCTTGAGGGCTCATGTTGGCAGTGTGTGGTGGAACTTGAGTCCCGTTGCTGTTTGGGTCAGTCGGGGGAGGATTGGCCCTGTGGAACGCATAAGTAAAGCGGCGTGTTTGGCATAGAATGTGCTCTTACGAGTTTACTACAATATTGATTGGCGGGGTACTAGGTTGGGTTGTGGGAGCGGTGGTGTTGGTACTATTGTTGGGTGTCGTTGTCCTGTAATGTCATATTTGATCAGTCTACAGCCAAAGAAGAGGAAAAGAAGACCCACGAAGGTGTATTAGCACCAGGTAACTGATTCCCTTGACCTTCCTCTCCCTCAGGAGTACCTTCCTCCTCCTCCTCTTCGCCATCTTCTTTGGCAGCAATAGACTTGTGCATAGTCTTGCTGTGGCCCGTCTTAGCCTTGCCCTTAGCCTTAGCCTTGGA